TTTACTTTCATGCAAGCTTTTATAGATTATTGAGTTGCCCATATGATGAATTCTAGGATAGCTCAGATGACAAGGCAAGCGGCTGGTGATCGGAAGGTACATGGTTCGAATCCCATACCATACAACGACATGTATAAGTATTTAATAAATTTTCTAATGTCTGTGTGGTGCGAGCCACGTCAGAAATAATGAAATACAATACATTTAGAAAACACACCCCCTTCCCTGTGTTCATCTTATTTTCGGGTTAATTTTCCCACAGTTGAATAATCGTTTAATAAATGTATAATAATGTCTAATTAAACGTTACTTCACATGAGAATCAAGCGTATACAGAGCATCACTGTTTTAAGGAGAAGCTGAATAATCATTAATTTTATCGTATAAACTCTGTTACAACTCAATATAAGTCGAATAAAAGCTTCTCGACATACCTTATTCAACACCAAATATTTCGATGTTGTGGTTGAATAAATTCTCCAGATTTGTGTGAACAAAGCCTGAACAGAAGTTATTATTAAAAATAGTACAAGTACTATTAAGCATGCAGTTGAATAAAATGGCCAAGAAGTCGTTTCTTCAATAGACGATTGTTTGTTGGGTAGCCTATTGGTCCCAAGCAAAAGATTAACGTACCACATTCTAGTCGAAATTCTACTACCACACAATGTTTGTTTTGATTCGCTATGAAAGTTTGACAGATAAAATGAGGGGTTATTGGATTTTCCGATGTTTCGAGGGGTGAATCGATTAGCTTGGGACCGAAGAGAGTACCAGAGCTGAGCCAAAAAGTTGAGCACGTTATTTCGGGACCTTCTTGTCTTAGAGTTACCTCTATGATATTACCATAGAGGTAACTCTAAGACCACTGGGTCCCGAAGAAAATCATTATTATTTTTGGCTCACTCAGTACCAGAACAACGGTCCCAAGCAGTCCCAAGCTATTTCACTCACCCCTGCATGTTCTGCATGAATCCACACACCCCTGATGTTATCTGTCAAACTTTCATAGCGAATCAAAACAAACATAGTGTAGTAATAGAATTTCAACTAGAATAGGGTACGTTAATCGTTTGCTTGGGACCAATAGGCTACTAAAGTGGTGAGCCAATTTAAAATCGTTAGTTTCGTATTGATTGTTGATATTACCATAGAGGTAACTCTAAGACTAGAAGCACAAACGAAGTGACAGACGACTAACTGGCGAAGAAATCCATTAAAATAATGTGGTTCACTGTAATAGAATTTTCTTGGAAGCTTGTGCCATCATCCACCAGATGGGTTAGTTTTTTTTGTTTTGATTTGAACAAAGTTGATTTTGTGTACAATGATTCTTTGACAGTGTGCAAAGAGTGCGTATCATTTTGTCATTTTTTTATGCATTTCAGTTTTGAGTAGTGTGAAAGAGATAGAACCAAAACATTCTAATACATTTGGTGAAAATACTAGTACAATCCAGTAGTAGTGTTGCCATGTGGTACAATCCAGTAGTAGTGGTGTTGCCATGTGGTACACTGAAAAATTGCAATAGCAGGTTAGTCACCAAAGTTTTCGAGCCGCTCCGTCTGTCACTTCGTTTGTGCTAGAAGGTCCCGAAGAAACGTGCTCAACTTTTTGGCTCAGCTCTGGTACTCTCTTCGGGAAAGCTAATCGATTCACCCCTCGAAACAAACAAACCCCTCATTTTATGTATCGAACTTTCATAGCGAATCAAAACAAACATTATGTAGTACTAGAATTTTGACTAGAATGGGATACGTTAATCGATTTGCTTGGGACCAATAGGCTAGTCAAGTAGTGAGCCAATTTAAAATCGTTAGTTTCGTATTGATTGTTGCTGGTACTCTCTTCGGTCGCAAGCTAATCGATTCACCCCTCGCAACAAAGGAAAATCCACTAACCCCTCATTTTATCTGTCAAACTTTCATAGCGAATCAAAACAAACATTGTGTAGTACTAGAATTTCGACTAGAATGATCGATCAAAAAATTACCCCCCTCCCCTATCGTGACGTTTTTCCTATACCTAATACATTGCTTGTCACAACATCTTAGACCCCCCCTTAGAGCGTGACATAATTTATGCATCAACCCTAATGCCACCGACGAACCGACATGCCACAGGAGCATTCCGTTTGTCCACAATTAGGATTGTCAAACGAGCGATTCGAACTTTCAAGCGGGCGATCAGATCTGTCAAACGAGGTGAGACGCAAACTGTAATAAGCTTGGTGGCCCTGAAATGGTTGGATCCATCTATTGACCATTGCAATCATGCGGCCGGTGCTGTTTGTGCTGAAGGATTTCCAAAATATGATACGGTATGCCATATACAACCTATTCGCAATTGGAAACGAGAGCGAAGAGTTCTTCATCAAAGAACTACACGGGGACGGCTGGTGATTATTTCGGCTATCACAGAAATATGAAGTTTACCACGTACAACACCGATAACGATAAATTCCCGGCTAATTGTGCCAAAAATTACTACGGCGCTTGGTGGTACAATGCTTGCTTTAGAAGGTATGCTCGATTAAGAAGGAGTTCGGAATTCAGTAGTAGACTGGTTCGAAAGGGTTCAAGGTATTTTTCCTTTACTTTTTTGGTAATCTGGTTAAATCCAGTATCCCTAGGGCACAAAATATACAAAACCATGTCAGTAGCTCCCATCTAATAACTGTGACACTTCGAACCAGCCTACCGCAGCTTGTTTATCCGGCAGCATTTAAAATTCTCCTTCTCTCTCGTGTGGTTTTCCGCAGCAACCTCAACGGCAAGTACATCAACACACTCAAACAGTCAGGCCATGAGCTGGAACACATTCAAGAATGGCAACGATGGTCTGATGTGGTCCAAGATCATGATCCGCGAGGTCTAGCAAAGAAGCAGTCATTAAAGGAGCTTCATCTTGAGCGTTTGCCTTGAACTTGCCGGATGCCATATAAGGTGCGAGCCTCTGAAGTGGATACCTTCTTGACGACCATCAGACCAACTACCAACAACCTACCAGCCGGGCCCGGCGTTCTTAGCAACACTTTGAAAAAGAAATAAAATTTGCTGTCTTTTTATCGCATCCTTCTGTGTTGTGTTTGAATGTACCAGCTACATACAAGCTACGGCGGGCATAAATCGTTGTATCTCGTCTGTGCTCTCCCATGTACGCTTTTATTGAACACCTGAGGATTGTAATTCCTCTGTCAATGGGTCCGGGGCAACATCACCTTTGGAGACCTTCGAGGTGTCTTCGTTTCTTTCTTATTTGTTGGCCACACTCACTCCGGACGTCTTTGCATGGCGTTGCGAAATTCCTTTCAACAGATGCACACTCACACTAGCCTTTTGGTTGTTATTTTAGTGATTCTCTATTTCAGATGCCATTGAAATTGATGTAAATATTGTAAACAGTAATTCACAATTATTATGAATGCAACAAGAAACATTTCAGTGAGCCATGAAATTCCTGACGTGTTATTACGCACCGCCACCCCCGATCTGATGCAATTTGGCTTAACCGCTTCGATCTCACGGGGTCATATACTGCTTAGAATCGCATAGCAGGCTCATTTTTTCATCAATTTTGAGATAACAAAGCTATCCATTATCTTCTTTCATGTTATGTTTTAAAACTATGATCGTGAAAAATGTGAAAACAACATCAAGCCAGTTTGTCCCATCAAGCAAAGTAATCGCATATCAGTCCCATTCTGAAATTCCATCGTCCAGAAATCAGGTTAAAGTTCTGTTTTTTATGCAAGTCAGAGATGTCGGTTCTACTGCAGAGAACAGCCGTTGAGGTGCAAAAATTAGGGGAAATTGAAAAGTTCTGTAGCAACTGCAACAGGAGTATGCGTTATAGAGTGGATAAATGTAAGATTATTAGATTATTGTTTATTGGATAGGTAATCGTATTAAACAATTACCTTTAATTTTTATTTACAGTCAGTAGATGATTTTCGCACTGATACCAACGTCCCGGTATTGATTTGCCGAGGAGTGTTCATGGAGGACTCCAACTTGATGTTACATCTTTATTCGAGGTTTTGTTCGGTTCGTTTACTGCATTCGGTTAAGAACCACCGCAACCGGACAAGCAGTTCCATTCCTTCCATTAAAACAAATTTAATAAATATATTTCATACATTTCTTTGACAAAACTGGTTTTATTTTAATGAAAATTCGAAGCAACGTATCCTTAATCAAAATTTAAAGCAGGATTTGAAGTGAAAACCGAACGCTGCCCATAAGAACCGAATTCTGTAATTACAACAGGTAGGTCGGTTTGTTTGACAGCGTTCGGTAATTCTTGAGTAAACCCGAGAGTAAACCGATGTTCGGTTATTTCTGCTTAAATATATTTTTCGTCAACCGAGATTTTCGGTAACTTTGACAGATTGTAGGTGAAAGAAGAACAAACTACAGCTCGGTTATTCCTCTTTGAACCGAACAGACTACCGAGCGTTCAGCAGATAAAAAGTCGGTTGAAATCAAACCGTGTTCGGTATTATTTTCTAAGTGTGTTGCTATATTTTTGAAATTTTTGAAGTTTTCACTTCGACATGTAGGTGTCGAAAGACGGCAAAAGCTCATCAACTTGCGCACTGCTCACATCTCTTACGTAAGATAATGTACGTTTGGCCGATGAGGTGTCTAACTTTTAAATCCGCGGCGGCTGTCAGATGAGAAATCAAAACAAAATGCGTACGCACGGTATCGGCACAATACCCTATAATGACTAGAAAAAAGAATTTGCGAAGGAAACTAGAACTCGAGTAAAATTTTACAAGGACATTACAGGACATCATCAAATAAATTATTATTATTATTATTAAGTATAAAGGACATTGAGTAGAAGTGACTCACGCATTGAGTTACTCTTGCTGAATATATACTTTCTAGTCATTATTGGGTATTTTGCTATTACCGTGTAGTTCAAGAACAAAATACGGTTTGGGACGGACTCGGCGGCGGAGCGTGTAGATTTCTGTGAATTAAAATTTAATATGTTAAACCCTAAATTCCATACAATTCATTAATTTATCACAAAGTAAACAATAGTAGTAACAAATTGCGTGGAAATGGCCAGGTAGGCAGACACATCTCCCACTTAAAACCACCGTATCAAGAGCCTCTTCTCCGGTAGCAAAATCGTCGAAAGCGATTCGTTCAACCGGTGGATCGTGGAGAAGCTGGCCGAGTATCGAGACCGGCTACAGCATAATGAGGTGTCCGTCTGGAAGCAGATCTCCCTGGATCTATCAAACGAACTGGAGTTGAATTGCAGCGATCTCCGGTGGCAGGATTTGAGTAGGTACTTCAAGCGGAGTTTGGTGTTCAAGTTGAGCCATCGAAAGTTAACGGACGATCAGGGACTGATTGATCGGCTGCAGTATCCGTATCTGCGGAAGGTGTATGTAGTAACGATTAAGTTGTACGAAAGGTATCAATCGGAGGGAGAACACGGGCGATCAGGGAATAGCAGTGAGATTGAGGATAACAAGCTGTTCATTAAGTACTTGATGGATGGAAGGTACGATCCGGACGTGGTGGCCGCTTTCAGGCGACGCAGCAGAAAAGGAATGCGCATCTATGTGAATATTAACGTGGCAGATCCGGCGTACAATCTACCGGAGGACGTGAAAAAGCTGCTGCTACAGATGGAACACAATCGAAAAGAGCGACCGCATCGTCATACCGAAGGGAACAGAGAGGAGAGGGAGAGTTCACCGGTAGTGCTGGATGGCGTACCGGTGGCGATCGAAGATGGTAGTCCTCGGGAGACGGAAATTTCCGTGAGAGATCTACTGGAGAGGGAATCATTTTCCGTCAACACCCAGGAGTACGATGAAATTATTAAGGAATCGTTGGAACGAGAACTGTCGCCAGTTCCTAAGAGGCGTCGGGTCAGTTTCGAGACGCACTCTATCGAAATATGGCTGGAATCGCACGAGGTTTTGAACGCATCTTTGTCGTCCATAGCAGCAGCCGGTGGCCATCAGGAAGATCCGCTCCACATGTCTGGTCGGAGTGGAACTCAACGATTGGATTTGTCAAAAAGTATTGCTGTTGATAGTTCCGTTTCGGAACCAACCGTGAGAAGTCAACCGGCGACGCTGATTGTGGCTAGTCAGTCGAATGGTGCGGTGACAGCAACAGCAGATTTTTCGCATGAAATTATTCGAATCAAACAGGAACCCGTGGAGGAGGAGGTCGTCAAGACTGTCGGAAATTCTGTGCAGTGTAGCTCGAAATCTGGTGGTTTTCCATTGGTAGGTCGAATTCAAAATGCTGAGTATTTTAAACATCTGGACGTGTTTTAGGACTTGACTTTTAAAGACTCGCCAGATGATGGTGAAGATGCGTCAATCGCCGCAGTTGAACCAACAACGGTCAATAACGTAAGCATAACTACGGCCAGAAGTCAGTGCAGTCCCAAATCCATCGATCAGGGGTCATCCGCTGTTGTTCAATCTGTAGGTAGCATCCATGGAGGATTATCGAAGAAAATCAATATAATTTCAACTAAAAATTTCAGCAACAATTGGTTCGAATCAAGCAGGAACCTGCGGTTAAGGAAAAATTAGGACAGCATGAGTCGACCTCTGTTCTTCCTCCGGTAAGTTAAAATTGGTCCTCCCACGATTCTTGGAGAAATTATGTCAGCAACGACCTCACCTGTCATTATTTTAGGACTTCTTCGCGGACTGCTCACCAGAATCTGATACAGTCGCAGTATCCAGAAATGTCAGTAGCTATATGTCTTCGACGACCGAAAATCGAGAAGCAGACAGCATTAGTCCCGGACGTTGTGTCGATCAGGGAACTTTTGATCCTGTATCTAACAGAACTGTTGCAGGTATTTCTAAATTGCAGCAACAATCGGTTCGGATAAAGTTGGAACCTGCGGAAAAAGACGTCAAGGTTAACGAAAAAGTAGGACAGCTTGAGTCTACCTCTATCCTTCCTCCGGTAAGTTAGAATTGATCCTCCTACGAATATTTGAGAAATGATCTCACCACAACCCCACCTTTCATTGTTTTAGGACTTCTTCGCAGACTGCTCTTCCGTTTCAGATTCAGATGAGATAGAATTTGAGGCAGTCGCTAGGTCTTCGACGACCGACAATAGCAGTAACCTAACTATGATCGAAAATCGAGAAGCCGACAGTATTAGTCCCGGATGTTGTGTCGATCAGGGAACTTTCGATACTGTGCCTAACAGAACTGTTGAAGGTATTATTAAGAAATTATCAAATACAACACAAGAATCGGTTCAGATCACGCAGGATGTTGCAGATAAAGACAACCTCAACGTCGAAGAGTCAGTTCTTCCTCCGGTAAGTTAGCCCTTCATTCATGGATGAATGATTCCAGAAGCAACATGTTTCAATATTTTAGGACTTTTTCTGTGATCACCTGTCGGTCAGTGAAGATGAAGCTTCAGACGATGTCGTTGCATCGAAAGTCACAGAAATGACGGCCAAAAATCACTCCAGCAGTCATAATTCTTCGAGAACCCCCTCAGGACCCGTTGCCTCATCTGTGGACGGTACGAGTAAATCTTCCGCACAACAATGCAGTCTACCAGCCGTTCGTCATTTGGCAGCGAAGAGAATTTCTCTTCTAAACGACAGCATGAACGACACTCCATTGTTTAACAACTCGCTGGAATCGGTTCCGCAGTACTGCATTTTGAAGAAACGACACCGCCTCCGAACTCCGCTGGTCGATACCGATCAGAATGTGCTGCTTTCGGCTGTCGCTGCTTCCGATGACGGGGCGGCACTTGAGGGGCGCTTACCAAATCATGACCAATCGGTTTGCGCCCCGCAATCGTTGGATCTTTCGGCGGACGTATATTCGATGGTAAGCTCAATTAACAGTTGACGGATTTCACGCCAGCTCGACCAGTGGTTGGCAGCACCGTCGCAAATTCCATCAATGAAATCTTACTTGTTAGCTGTATTTAGAATAAAAATAATCCTCATCGGGATGGACGAAATGTCTTCACCGCTACTTTCAAATCGACGATGGGGGTTGTTCAGGTTTCTTTATAGAGGTTCAGGGAAGTTGAGAGAACATCATTTGATTTAAGGGAACTTCGTAGTAGTTCGAGGAACTTCGTAAAAGTTCAGGTAACGTTGTAGAATTTCAAGGAACTTCGTAGACTTTTAAGAATCTTTGAAGATCTTCAGGAAACTTCGTAGAACCTCAAGGATCTTAGTAAAAAATCAGGAAACTGCGTAGGAGTTTACAAAACTTTCTACATATGCAACAAATGTTATAGAAGTTCAGCAAACTTTGTTAAGGTGATTCCTTGTAGAGTCCACAAATGGCCGCCACGTAGGCTATAAATGCATTTCCACCTCGAATTTTCAATTACACACATCTCGGAAATTAGAGTTCCATTTCACCTGAAATTGCTACTGCATGTATGCTGCAGCGCAGCAAACGTGGAGTAACGGTTTCATTGTAGTACGTGTCGTGGAAGCTGATATTTGTGCACTTAAAGTTTCGAAGTGGTAGCGAGAATAAGGATCTCACAGCGAACCACCTTAAGCCAAGACCATTCTTTACTGGTCCTCTACTACTGCTTGCTTCCTGATTCGCCAAATCATAAGTCCTTTCTAATTTTGCTTATGCAGTAGCCTTGGCCAATAGCTCCTACTAAACCTCCATCATTGCAATTTTCCGCTGTCCCTGCATTTGCTTTGGTAACTTCCCAGGTGGCTATTATCTTCTCCGCATTGGCTAGAGTTAAATTATCCTCACTCAAGAGCCTTTGTCTTAAGTTTTTATCCTTCATCCCTGCTATGATGCGATCCAAAATGGCTACTTCTTTAAAATTATTGAAACCGCAAAATTCAGCTTGCAGCTTGAGGGCTAAAACAAAATCTTCCATGGTTCCAAATTTATAGCGCTGGACCAAATCTGGGTCGATTTTATCGAGACGACTTTTGAGTTTGGAAACCAAGTCATCAAAAGTCGCCTCCTCAAAATTACCCGCGGGATAGAGAAGTTTAATCTCTTCGAACATTACTGGCCCACTCAACGTTATGAAGAGATTCGCTGCTTAATCGTCAAGCAGTCCAGTCCGGCTTCGTCCGCTCTCTCTATCTCTCTCTCTTACTCTAGAGTATTCGATTGTCGGTTCGCGTCTCTCTTTCGCGGTGTTTGGTGAAGCATCGTTCGATCTCAGTATGGAAAAACCGCCGCGTGGTGATGCGGTCGCAAGCTCGTCCGGGAAGCGGCCCCGACAGGAAACCGCCAACGCTCAGTCGGCACCGAAAAAGCTGCTGTCCAACAACCGATGAACCGGAAAAGAAGAAAAAGGAGAAACTACCACCCTTCTTCGTCAAGGGATTCCCGCCCGGACTTCGAGAGAATATCGAATTCATCATCAAGCAAGGCTTGAAGTGCACCATGCGCATGCGCTACTCACAACAGAGGAACTCATTACCATCATGGCAGAAGCAATCATCATCAAGCGCTGCTGCAGAACCAGAACCGAGCAGATTCTTGCTGCATCACGTTTCATCGACAATTATGGACCGTGAAACCATCAAGATCGCCAACTGGAACGCTTGCTCGCTAAAGAGCAAGAACATCGAGTTCGTTGACTTCCTCAACAAATAAAACATCGACATTGCCGGTATCACCGAAACTCTCCTGAAACCGGAGGTAAACGTCTACCTTCCTGACTTCCGGCTTCTAAGACTTGATCGAACCAGCTCCGGGGGAGGAGGAGTGGCCATTGTTGTAAGGAGAAACATCTGCTATCGGCTTCTGCCGAGCTTCCAGCTGAAAACCATCGAAGCTTTAGGGGTAGAAGTCCCCACTCCTGTCGGCCCTATCACCATCATTGCGATCTACTGCCCTAAGCAAGTCACCATCAGGGACGGGTCGGCAGCAGGCCTACGGAGGGACATCATCAAACTAACGCTGGCGACCTGAACGCCAAACACCAGGCTTGGGGCAACAGTCGACGCAACCGAAACGGCACCATTCTGAACGACGACCTGCAAGAGGTTCGCTACACCATATTAGCGCCGGACTGTCCCACAAGGTTGAGCCGGTCTGGCGTTCACTCCACGATAGACATCTGACCCATCAGGAGCTGAATGACAGTGAGAGACAGTGACCTATCAGGAGCTGAGTTCGGACCACTATCCGAACTCAAGCTTCCCGACGCAACTACCATCGTGTCAGCTGGGAGCAGTTCAAACACTGTGTCGACTACGATGCCCTTCCGGAGACGCCCGAAGACGTTGACCGGTGTCTGCGTTCCATCGAGAAGGCGATATGCCGGGCCAGGGAACAACACGTGCCAGTATCCAGACAGGTGAGCAATACTCTGAACCTTGATAGAATTACCAAAGATCTCATCAGACTCCGTAGCTCCATCCGAAGGCAATACCAGCGTTCTGGTTTACGTGTCTTGAAGATTGCAATCGTCTTACAAAAACCATCCAAGCCAGGATGGTGGACCTCAGAAATCAAGATTTTGCTAACAAGATCCGTTCTCTCCCAGATTGTGCAAAGCTCTTCTTTAAACTAACGAAAATCCTTAAAAATAAGCCAAGACCCATTCCACCACTGACCCCACTGGATCGTCCCGGCAACCCAGTGATTCATCTGATAACTCCTGAAGAGAAGGCTATGCCGCGATAGGTCAACACTTCGTCAGCTCCCATAATCTCGGTCACACATCATTAAACAATCTGCAACATCTATCGAGAGGATTGTTATAACCGTAAGCAGTACGATGTCCGGGAGTCCACAGAAAGTAATAGTTGCGGAGACGGCGAGCTGGAGTGTGCAAATTGATGTTCCCGAGCAAACAACTGCAGTCAATATGATTACTAGTTAGCGATTTGTTAGTGTTTGCAGTCCAATAAGCGCACATCTATGCTCGTACGGAGGTAAACTATCTGGATTTGTCCATTGCAGACGTCGTAATGCAAACTTTATAAACTGTTTCTGGATTCTCTCGATGCGCAGTACATGAACAGCATGATATGGAGCCCAAATTTGTACTCCATATTCAAGAACACTGCGCACCATAGAGCAGTACAGCGCTTTCAGGGCGTACACGTCGTCGAATTGTGCAGTATTGCGGCGCAAAAATCCTAGCATGGAGTTGGCCTTTGCAACTGTCATGGATATGTGCTCGTTAAACCGTAGTTTTGCGGTCCAAGATGAGCCCAAGATCCTTAATAGCATTAACCCTTTCCAGTGGCGATTGATTCATAGAGTAATCAAAAATGATCGGAGAGTGAGAGCGGGTAAGGGTAATCACTTTGCATTTGGCAGCATTGGCTTGCATTCCATTCACCTGACACCAGGATGACAATCGCTCTATATCAGCTTGTAGTGCGCAACAATCCACGATCGATTCGATCAAACGGTACAGCTTAAGATCATCCGCATATAGCAACTTACAGGAACTTAGCATATCACACACGTCGTTAACGAAAATGAGAGGTCCTCGGTGACTCCCTTGTGGAACCCCCGATGGTACATGGAATACCTCAGATCTGGAATCACGTACCTTAAAAAAAGCCTTCCTGGATGATAAGTATTATTTCAACCAACAAACGATCCACGGTGGAAGACCGAGGCGGTTTAGCTTCATAATGGTTAGGTCGTGAGGGACTTTGTCAAAAGCCTTAGAGAAGTCGATGTAAACGGAGTCCACTTGCTGACGCTTCTCGATGCTACCTAGAAGAGTGTTCGTGTAAGTCATCAAGTTAGAGACTGTCGAGTGCTTTTTCATGAATCCATGCTGAAACTCTGAGATTATGGTTTGAACAGCTGGAAACAACTTCTCATGCAGAAGACTTTCGAGAACTTTGGCCAAGCAGTTCAGGATCGAGATAGGTCGGTAATTTTCCACTTTGTGCATGTTACCGGAATTGAGGTGTGCTTCCAGGCATCCGGAAAAACGCCATCCTTAAGCAATCGATTGAAAATAGACATAACGGGAGTGGCCAACGATGCTGCACAGTTCTTGACGAAAGACGGTGGAATACGGTCCGGGCCTGGACCTTTCGATGGATCGCCTGAGCAAAGGGCTTTGAGAATAGCGTCTTGACTGAAGATGAGCTGCTGCAGGTGAATGTCGTATCTTGGTAGCTGATCAATGTATTGCTGCGGTGGAGGAGTTTGATCGGGTTCGAAATCACTTCGGAAAAAGTCAGCGAAAAGGTCAGCAGAAGCGGTGTCGGTGCTGGAGCTTCTACTACCGTAGGTGACGTCCACGGGAATACCAGCTGATCTTTTCCGAGAGTTGATAAAAGACCAGAACGACGATGAATTTTCCTTGACACCCCTCTGGAGGTTGTCGACGTACTCACGAAAGCGAGCTTCCTGCAAACTATTATACTCTGCTTCTACTAGCTGCACCGTATACTTGTTTGCTGCGGTCCGGGAACGAAAGTAACTTTTTCGAGCTTTACACAGACGGTAACGCAGATTACGCAATTGCGGATTCCACCAAGGTTGTTGGAATTGCAAACAAGATTTTCGTGTCTTCACCGGAACAGTATCTTAGATTACTTTATAGATGTTGTCGTAGAATACGGAGACGGCGGCATCAATGGTGGGTTGGTCAAGTATTTGTACCCAATCCAAGGTGGCAATCCTCGTGTTAACAACATCGAAATCACATTGTGCAAAATTATACTCACTGCGGGCTGCTGGGTACGGGAGCGGATGATCTCTCGAACGGGAGTCAACTTTTAGAACCAACGGCTTGTGGTGACAATCAACTTTCATAATTGCAGAGGGTGGTTCAAACAGCTCGATGCAATCGGAGTCACTAACGAGAACCAGGTCAAGAAGCTTACCATTCGTGTTCACCAGAT